TATATATATATATACTATATATACTATATATATATATATATATATATATATATATATATATATACATATATGTATATATATATATATATAATACATATATATATATATAATATATATAATATATATATGTATATATACATATTATATATATATTATATATATATATATATATATATATATATATATATATATGATATATATACATATATGTATATATACATATATGTATATATATATATATATGTATATATAATATATATATATATATATATATATATATATATATATATATATGTATATATAGAAAAGGTATGAATGAGACTGGATATCTTCACAATACAAGATACATCTCTTGTATTGTGAAGATATCCAGTCTCATTCATACCTTTTCTACATTTGTCAACATGGATACGTTTCATATGTATATATATATATATATATATATATATATATATATATATATATATATATATATTATATATATACTATGTATGTATATATATATATATATATATATATATATATATATATATATATATATATATATATATATATATATATATATATATATATATATATGGCTTATATCCCCTAACCTGTTATCATTCTGGTACTTGCACCAGTTCCTAGTATTGTGGATATCGAGTGTATTTTTTCATTTTTTACCCCTCCCCATTATATGACAGGCTGTGCCAATTCTCATCTTTAGTTTCATCCTCACCTTTACCCTTAACCCCACTCTTACACCCACCCTCACCCTCAGCCTCAGTCTCACCCTCACCTCCACCCCAACCTTCACCTCCACCTTCACCCTTATCCTCACCCTTCTCACTATCTTACTCTCACTCTCACCTTCACCATCACACTCACACTCCCTCACAATCACACTCTCACTCATACTGATACTGATGCCTATACCCATACTCACACTCACATTCACCCTCACATCAACTCACACTCACTCAACCCAATGTGGTTATTTTATATAATAGTTGAAGATATTTTTAAAGCAAAACAGATGATAAATTGTGGTTTGCATTGCTTGCAATCCTCAGAGATGTATATGTATCATATAATTTTCTTTTATATGCCAAAGATGTGAAATTTGCATGGGTTTCTTAAAAAAAAGAAAGTTATTGATATAGACATATTTTTTTAATTGTAGAGGGATTTTTGGTGTCCAAGCATTTTTATATTTACAGTTGTTCTTGATAAGTGAATTCTTAAAGTAGGTATCAAAATTCTTTCAGAGCACAGCAAAGAAGCAATAATGTTTTTGTTCAATTACATTCATATGATTATAAAAAAAGTGAACTTTTGCTAGTATCTCTATTGGTTTGGAATGTTTCATCTTATTGGCCCCTATGTATAATGCACTTCCAGCAAACAAACCTTTATTTCATTCTATTAACAGAATGCCTCCAGGACCCTGCCACATCATATGACAAACATTTGAGGCTCTTCTTAGGAAACAGTATTCTGTGGAGTGTTTCAGTCCACAATGTGCATTGTGCATGTACCTTGTCTCATGATACTACACTGTTTTGTATCAGTATCAGTCTCATCCATAAGATGCCTCAGGATTATTTGTAACACATGTGTAAGGCCTAATTAAGAGGTATTACACATGAGTATATAGCTTTTTAACTGGATTTCAGGATAGATCAGCAGTAGGCATTCCTGGGGTGAAATATGGCTCTGTGAAGAATCTCAAGAGACGGGGTGGCAAGGTAGTTCATGATGCCGAATCACATGGGGCTGATCAGTTTACATTCGCCTTTGATGTAAAGTAGCTCCCATTGTCAGCAGTTACTTAGTGTGCCACAGCTTTTCACACTGATGGATTTGATGCAACCTCACTGCAGTGCAGTTTTTTTAAAGATATTTTTTGTGATTATGTTGCCACATCACTGCAGCGCAGAATTTTTCACTTATTTGTGATTTTGTTATGCCAGAATGTTCATCATGACTGCATTCAGTGAATCATTTATTTCTCACTTGTTTACAGTACTTAAATGTTATTCTGAAGAGAATGCACTATTTAAATAATTTTCTTTTTAGCATTCCCTGTTTTAGCTTCATAGTTTTGTACCAACCTTTTTGCTCCGTGGAATGTTCAATTTCAAATGTGATGATTGCCTGAACATCAGTTTCTGTTCCACTGTTTCCAAGCGTCTCACTGTCTTAGACTCAGAATTGCATGGCCTGTGTAATCAGTTATATAATTTGGGTGACTAATTTTCACATCAAATTTACTTTATGTTAGCAGAAAATTATGATTTTTATTATAATGAGGTAATTGACCTTAGCCTTGAACAAATGGAATATGAACTGATGGCCTGGATACTTTATTTTCAGTTTCAGTTCACTTATTTGTCTGCGAAACTCAAGTCAGCATTAATTTCTTGGTTCTTTCCCAGTGGGGTTTATGATATTTTGTTCGAATTGAACTCTAAGAGGATAATATAGTTTATATTTCCTTGACTGAATGATGTAATATTCTTATATTCTCATCAGTCTCTACCCACTGAAAAGCTTGTATATCTTGAGCCAAATACTAATAGATATATGCATAGCCAAATGAAAAGATTAAACAGCCTATTATTGGAAATACAGATGTAATGGTACTAATGACTTGAAAGTTGTAATTTGATAGGAATGTAAGTACATAATTTGATACAGCTGTGGGAACTTTACTATGTATCATTGTAAATACAGATGGTCTGGTTAAATGTGTCTTTTACGGGTATGCAGTACAGTGCAGAACTTTCGATTTTTTGTCTCTGAAACACTTGTGTGTTACATCTGCCATCACTTTACCCAAAAGCATGTTAGGTAGGCATCATTCATTGATATCTGATTTGATGTAGGACATTTTTTTCCTTTCTTTATATATTTATTCCATTTTTCTTTTCGAGGCATTAATATTGGAAGTAGTCCTCATGGAAACTTTGGGGAAACGGATATGACATTTATTTTACTTTTTTACTTTTGAAAATTGCGTGTTTTACACTTTAGTGACATGAATAAACCCCACATCCATAGAAAAGGTGATATTAAAAAAAGTGCATGTCAATTATTCATAGAGTAATTTTTACATTTTGATTTTTCTTTGATATGTGCATGAAAATTTCTACAAGATTGATATGATACTTTCTGCATGTTATTTCATAATGAAATATTTAGTTATTTGCAACCTATATGCATTTTAGATGCACCATAGAAAATATCTGCTTTGACTTCATAAGTTGATGTTCATTGAGATATATTACAATACTAAAGATTAAAGTACAATCCATGCAGAATAAGTAATTGAATATTACTAAAGTTTAGATTTAATTGACAGATGTTATTATTTCACTAATTTCCAGATGCATATAGTGTTAATATTTTGAATTTAAAAGTATGTTTGTGTTTGTTTATGTGTATGCATCTGTGTGTGCTGCATGCATATGGGTGCAAATATGTATGTATGTATGGGTAGGCCTGTATATATACTCATGCCTTCATGTGTATATATTTGCGTGTGCTTGCATGTGTCTCATGCCAGTATATATAAGTGTGTATTTATTGATATGTGAGCTGATGTGTGGTTTTCTCGAATGTTGACATGTGTTTTATGAAAGAGGATGCTCATTACCCCCCCTGAGAAATGCAAGACATTGTGAAGACCCTTGCTGTGAATCTGAATTTATGTTAGTGCATCTCCTTAAAAGTAACATTTTAGGCATACACACAAACTGTGTGTATCTGGCCTCACATATTATTTGAATTTTTTGTTTCCATACATCTTTTTCCTTAATTATGTGCTAAATATGCTGCTTGGTGAATATATAAAGGGACACACTTCGCACGCTGATTGGAAAGAACATGTAATCTTCTTTGCTTATTATTATTTTTTTCTTATGTAATAAGTGCCTTTTTTCCTTATTATATCAAGGCCAACATATTTTATTTTGTCCATCAAACTAGGTAGAAGGTCCACTTGTCTCAGGGTTAAATCTGAAAGGAATATTATATTTGCGATGTCCAACATGAACGAGCACTTTTTAGTCAGTTCACTTGTGTCTCGGAAGGAATAGGTATATCTATGAATAGTCTTTATGATTTGAAAATTCTCCTTGTTTGCTTCTCAGACTTTTCACATCTTATATTTTGCATATTTTAAAACTTCAGTATGTCACCCTGAATATATCTCATGGAGGTATTGCCCATTATAATGAAAGGAAGAATGAGTTGCCATAGTACATCTCCAGAGTGGGTTTAAGTGTCAGTGTGAGTGAAAATTTCTAGATGTGGACATTAATCTTGTGGATGCTAATTGATATGTGATGTATTTTTACTTTTTTTCCAATTTTGATATTTTCTGCATATATTGTGATGTGCATCAAAAATGTGGTATATGTATTCTTCTTTATTTTCCTCTAAGATGAAGCTGATTTACAAATGTCTGAAATCTACACTAAAAACTACATTAGTTTGTCACAAAAGGTTTTTAGTTCATATTGTAATTGAATTCAGAATTGTAGAACTTGAGAATGCACTTGAAATTGATCAATAATGTCTTATACAAGTTAAATATTCATCAGCTGAGATATTTCATGTATAAACAGAATAAAGTGTATTGTATAATGTGACAGAAATTGGTTCAAATTATTTTTAGAATAATTTTAGAGGAAATATTTTTCCAGAATTATACATTTCTTAATACCATATATAAAATGCATTGCTATTCCTTTTGGATTAACGCACAGATTACAGTATCCACTTTTTTTTTCTTTTTCTCAAAGACTTACTGAACATAGGGCACCTTGTAAAGTGAACAATTATGAGCAATACAGCAATTTATAGAACAAGTCAGCACTGTTTAAATGCCAAAACCATACACACAACTTATTCAGCATGTCAGATTTGTACAGACTTTTGTACTTTTCCTTAACAGGATATTTTTGTTTGCTTAAGTTCCCACAGTATTACATCATTTCCTTGGTGTCCCACAGGACAAGCAGTTTGGGAAAGTCCAGCTCTACTTCCCCCACGAGAACCCCAAAGCTGAGGTGGAGACGCAGATCAAGCCATACAAGACGTATACATTACAGAGAGCATATAAAGGGGAGTCCTACTTTTGGGGGTTGCTTCCTCAACAAGGGGACCTCCTACAGTTCACCTTCGATCCTCCGGTTGTGATCAAAGGGTGAGTCCTGTGAAGAGATGCTCGAGGGGATAGTTACTGGTAGATATTTGTGAAGAGGAAAACTCAGGTCAAAATAAGTTAGAGCAGAACCATGGTATGAGAAAATGAGGTGGGCAGCTGGAGATGTAAAAAATACAAGAAGGTGCCAGTGGTTAATTAAAGATTATGTATATGCTAAATGTGATGATCATACATGTGATTTTCAAGTCATTTCTTTTACCAGCATCACTGATTTTATTTGTGCTACTGAAAGAGGCATGTGAAAAAGAAATTCTTGTTTCCAGTATCAAAAGACGACCAGCTCTCAAGTCGGTTATCAGTTTTTCTTTCTTTGGTTTCATTGAATTTGCTAACATGGTATTTCATGATTATTTATTTTTCCAAAGCCATTATATTGATAAGCTACTATTTAATTTGTGCAATAAAGATAAGGAACATAATGCTAACATAGATGGAAACCAGGGAGTAAAATTCAGAAAAAAGGGATTGTATAAGAAAAAAGAATCTATCTATCTGTCTATCTCTGTGTATCTATATTTATATCTATATCTTTATCTGTGTCTATCTATCAATATCTATCTATACTTATCATTATTTGATATAATCCCAATGGTACAAGATATGTAGTACAAGAAAAGACATAAAATCAAACCAGAATCACTTACAAAATACACAGAATATAATGCAGTCTTCAAGTAGAAATAATCTTCATCATTAATAATTTTTATTCATCTTTAATTAATTTATAGAAAACTATTATATTTTCAGCATTTGATTAGTTTCCCATTATCCATGCTATACTCCTGTACAATACATACATTCCCAGAAATATACAGTTTATCATTAATCACTCATGTAAAATGAACACAGTCTACACAAAAATAGACCAATATAAAACTAATATGAACATGTGGGATAGAATTAATTTGATTTATTTTTTCCTTGCAGGTTCCTCTTTCGTAGTGGGAATGTTGAGCATCCATCCGACAGACTGTATAACACAACAGTAGAGGTGCTTCCTGTACAGCCATTTTCCAACATCCCTGCCGTTGCTGCGAAAAAATACAAAATTACTGAAGATAAATATATGATAGTCGGTAAGTGAATTGGAATGCCCTCTTCAATAACATATATATTATTATTATTACATTTTTTTAAGTTAAAAGAATGGAGGAATATAGCAAGAGCACAAGGAATTCTGTGGTACTCATTATAGAAAATTGAATTTATAAGAAATCTTATTCATTAATTCAATTTTAGTATAAATATTTTTACTGTTTTTGATGAATATATATATATATATATATATATATATATATATATATATATATATATATATATATATATATATATATATATATTGTTAAGCATGCATGGCTGTATTTTTTTTATTGTAATTATATATATTTTTTTTTTTTCTTGTTATTCTAATCATTCTAATATCTACAGGTGACTTTGATGATATGGGTGTAGCAGAGGGGTTAATAAATGGAGAATTAGGAGAAATTAAAACATTACGTCTACATGTCCATATAGACAGTGACAATTGGGCTATACTTAGTGAGGTGAGTTGCTTACTCGTAGTGTACGGCATCTGTATTTGTTTATGATTATATATCCGTTTAGTCAATTTTTCCAGATTTGCTAATTCGCTTATCTTTTTTTATACCTAGAATACTATTTTAACTAGATGCTTTAAATGCATAAACAGTTATGATACTTTCTGTAAATTTAAGAAATACTTTGACTACCAAAATGTCTCATAGTCTACCCTTTTTGAAAATGTTATTTATTTTTATTTTTATTCATCTTTAAGTTATTTATAGAAAATGATTCTATTTTCAGCATTTGTTTCGTTTCACATTATCCATGCTATACTCCTGTACAATACGTACATTCCCAGAAATATACAGTTTATTTCTCATTATTTATATTGCATGAACATTGCACTTACATTCTTTAAAAAATTAGGTTATCTTCTATTATTAATTTCATCAATAGATTCACATTTTCTTTGTTTTATTTATTAATTTCATTAATCAATTTATTCATCTACTCACATGTTCTTTATTTTTCATCACACGTTGCAGATTCACATAGAAACTCCGGAAAAGAGGTGACCAGACGCTCCAATGGCCTTCACCTTCTGCGAGTGTCCAAGCATCTCGTGCCAGCAGTGACCAAGGCTCCATGTATGTTTCCAATGTGTATGAAAGTGATACAAAAAGACAAATGGGTGAAAGTTTTTAAAAATGGCCGGTAGCATTCTTGTTGATATTTATTACTGGTAATCAGATATTTTCGTATGAGAAGAACAAGATATATTCCATATATTGTGCTGAGGAACTTTTTTATACAGAATATATATATATATACATGTACACACATTTGTAGGCATATATGTTGCAAAAATATAGATTGACAGTGATCTGTGTCTACGGTCCTTATCAGAGAGGGTATAGGGCCCTGATCTGTGT